ACATCTTAATGTATATAAAACTTACTCACGGTGTACCTAATTACGGGCTTCACTCAAGCGAGTATCTGACCAAGTTATGGGGAATGACAATATGACAACCATAATATCGCCCATAAATTACAATTGAAAAAGTAAAAATACCACATATCTCACTTAGAGATCAGAAATAGCAAGCACAGTTAAATGTTGACATTTAATTTTGGAGATGATTGCAAATAATTTTGTAGGTTTCGGGGGATTTTTAATTTCCTTCATTGAGTACATGAATTCAGCTTTGTGTTTAGTAATGGGCGTAAGACATGATGAATGCATTTACCATTTAACCCCCCTTTCTCTCTCCTCCCTACTCTGCATCCATCCTCGTCCTTTTCATCTCTCCTCTTCTCTTCTGTTTCAACGTTAGTAATTGGTTAATGCTATCAGATTCTTCTGACCCTCTTCTCTTTTCCCCTTCACTGACTTCCTTCTTTCATTTTCCACCAAAAAAAAAGAAAGAAGTTAATGTATTTGCAGTGTATTTTTAATGTGTATACAATGTATTTATAATGTATTTATAATACAAGGTCAATGTATCTACATTTCTCACCATAAGAACCCTTTTCAACGAATCCCAACCCTAAGTTCTTATATGTATACTTCCTCCGTTAATTATTAATTGTAACAAATGGGTATTATTTGTGCGACATAAAATTTCATTTTTGTTGCAATTAATATTTAACAGAAGAAGCATATATATATATAGGTAAATTAGGAAAATATTATACAAGTAATGAATTAAAAATTTCATAAGATAATTTGTCAAAAAAGTAAATAAAAAATTGACGGGAAATTATTTAACAAGATTTTACCAAGTGTTATTTTATAGTCGCCTTTAATATATAGTTATTGATGATTATTGTGGGCACCATATTTCCTAAAAAGATAATAAACTTGTATTTTCTCCATATACTCACCTTTGAAAATAAAGGATACAACAAGTAGAAATAGACTTGTCAATTTTTTTATCTGACTTGTTAACTCGCCCGATCCTGACCTGTTTAAAATTAATGGGTGGTGAAAGGGATGTCAGTGGGTCAACGGTCAAATGTTTGTGGAACAGTTGAAGGAAGTGGAACTGAGGACGGACAATAAAGTGTGCCTGATCTCGCCGAGGAATCCGAAGATGGCGCCAAAGGAGTTCAAGAACCTTGTGCAGGATATCATTTATCTCTGTCAAGACTTAGTCTATTTTTGTTGTTGCTATGTTTCTAAAACTACCTTTATTTCATACTTATGTACAACATTTATTAAAAAAGATATTACACATTAAGTACAACAAAAGTTTTCTATCTTTTAAAGTTGTCATTCTTCTCTATCTCTCTCCTCATCATATGCATTTCTATCTTTATCTCAATTTAACATGAGCACACAAATTTTTCTTAAGAGTTTGTGCCAAAACATTTGTTGCACATTATATGAAATAGAGGTAGTAGAAAGAAAGCTTGAAAAATCAAATATTTGAAAAAATTAGTCAATAATAATTAAATAAAAATTTGTTCTTACGAATCAGTAGTGACTTTGGATTGGGGTTGAATATTTCTTGATCCGAAGTAACCCGTCTCGCAATGGCCCGTGACTTGGAGTGACATGAACTGAGCATGACCCGATATTGACAAGTCCCCATTGTCAAGTCTAACTAGAACTATATGATGACGACATAGAAATTTAGTAAAAATGTAAAATCCTGGTTAAATAAAAAGATTCCTTAGTTATCCAAAAAAAAAGTACTAAATGAAATTCGATTAAAATAATAGCATTTATTTGCAATGTGAATTGCTAAACAACACTCCCATTTTACAAGACATCGCTCCCTTTTTGATATGGAAGGACGATATTGCCCTTTGTGTAAGTGGTAGTATATAATGGTATAATATCATTCCCGACCCCTCCACTTACTACCACGTGGTAAAAAAATCCCCGACAACCCCACATTCGATCCACCACCAAAAATCCGAGTTTTTTTTTAAAAAATTTATTAAGCATTAGCGACGGGTTTAGGACGATGAATGACGACAACGTTCGGACACTTGAGACTTCGTCGGAGGATTCTGTAAGTCGTCGTACTTTTTTTTTTATATTTTTGAAATAAAACATCAGCCAAATAAATTAGGATCCACCTAGGTGGATCCACTTAAAATTTCTAGATCCACCTAAGTAGATCCGAAAATTTTAGGTGGATCTCCCACATCCGCCTAATATTTTTTTGGATCTTCCTAGGTGGATTCGGAAATTTTAAGTGGATCCACCTAGGTGGATCCTAATTTTTTGGGCGGATGTAATTTTTTTTTTTTTTGAATTGATTAATTAATTAAATTTATTATTGTAATCTTTGCATTATTATTATTATTATTATGATTATTATTAATTTTGTGATTAATTGAGTAATTAGTATTAGTATTTATTGTTGTTGTGATCAATGTTGTGGCTGTTTCTGTTTAATTTTTTTTTTATTTTTTTATTTTATGACTTAACTTAATTTGGTTTTTTTTTTAAAAATTTAGAGAGATGAAATGAGAGTGAAGTACGAGAGAGTTGTGAATTTGTGATTTCAGAAATGAGAAATGAGTGTTGTGAGTGTCGTGAGTATTTATTTACGATGGGTAAATACGAAAGTTCGTATTAAAATGCGAGCGGTGCCTTGTAAAATGGGAGCGTCGTTTAACAACCTCCTTTTTTTTATATAATATTTATAAGCAATTTTATGCGTTTTTATTGATGAGTTGGAAATGAAAAATTGCATCACCATTCAATTATACTTTACGTGATTGATTATCTAAGATGATACATTATATTATACTTCGTAACTTTTAAAAGAGGTGCAATGTTGTTATAAGGGTAATGATGCTTTTTATTACTATTACTACTTCTATTTCATTTTACTAGCTGCCAGTGATAATCCATAGTTAGTAGATGATTAATGCTTTGTTTGTAGCATATTATGCACGTTGGCAATATAACCTTATATAGATATGTAAATTGATAGTCTAATGTGGTTGATCATAATTAATTAGTATACCAAATTAATGATGTTATTTGCTTAATGTATATCCAAATTCACAAAGCATTGAGCTTAATCTAAGTTCTGGAAATTTAAAACACGTACAATTAGCTAGTTACATTTTTATTCTTTCTATAATAATAAACTAGTTTTTAGGCCGGACGATATCCCGATTTACTATATTATTTTCATGATAGAAATCTTTATTAATATTTAGTTTTGATAGAATGACAAGTGATAAGGTATTAACTTAGTGACTAACATGTTAGAATTTAAACTTAAGGTGTGGGTTTAAATCTTGTAAGATCCATTTTTTTGAGCATATGGAATGAAAAACTTTATTAAATGAGGAGACCGGCACATGAACGCCTTTTAATATATAGTACTCCCTCCGTTTTTTTTTTTTTTAAAAATTTGTATCACTTTTCTTTTATAGTTGTTTTTTTTTAATTTGCATCACTTCTATATATGGTAATTTTATACTATATTTAATTATTTCTCTCTCTTACTTTAAACCCCACTCAAATTAATTTATCAGTTCTCTCTCTCATGGTCCACGATACTCTCTCTCACATACTTCACTTTCATGGTCCCCACATTACTTTTACAATAATAAATTATTCATTCACTCACATTATTATATTATACCAAATTCATTTTCCTAAAACTCTACGCATTTACAAGTGATGCAAATAAAAAAAAACGGAGAAAGTAGCATATTATGCAGTTTGGCAATATAGCCTAATATAGATACTCCTTTGTGTTTAAGAGTTATAGTTTGACCAAACATGCATGTCGAGACACAACTTTGACCATTAATTTATCTAGAAAATTATAAGGAAATTTGATATTATGAAAGTATACATTTTGACAAATCCAACATTGTATTGTACAATAACATTTGTTTTATATAAATTAGTAAAATAATTAAGTCAAAGTCATTGTTGAATAGTAAAAAAAAGTCAAAATGTAACACTTATTAAAACACGGAGGGAGTATGTAAAATTGATAGTCTAATGTGATTGATCATAATTAGTATACCAAATTAATGATGTTATTTGCTAAATGTATAGCAAAATTCACAAAGCATTGAACTTAATAATCTAAGTTCTGGAAATTTAAATCGTATAATAATAACAAGTTTTTAGGTTCGGGCGATGCCCCAAATTATTACATTATTTCCATGATAGAAACCATTGTTAATATTTAATTTGATAGAATGACAAGTAATATGGTAATAGCTTAATGACTAACATGTTAAAATTTAAGTTTAAGGTTATGAGTTCAAATCTTGTAAGATCCATATATTTTAGTACTAGAGTGGGCCCATGTGCGCATTGCACGCGGAGCAACACGCATTAGCAAGAGTGTGTCTCGATGTTGTGAAATGTGTTGATTTTATTTGCTTAGACATTTAGCTCGATTTAAAATTGGAAGTGTATATATAGCTAATAGATTTTAAAAATTGTTTTTAGAAAATACTAATAGATTTTCACAAATTCTTATACAGGTGGTTGGCGTGTGGCCAACCATTATGGAGGTAACTTTGTGAGTATTAAGATTACTTGGTCAGTGTTGCAGGGGTTACTTTGTTAGTGTTATAAGTGTTACTCTGTCAATATTACATGGGTTACTTAATCAGTGTTATAGGGGTTATTTTTTTTGTTTACAAAAAAATTACATGGTACGGCCCGCCGAACACAAAACGCACTGATATATTTTAAATTTAGATTTATCATTTTAGAGATATATTTTGAATGTGCTCGTGCGTGAATATTTTCGCTCATTGGGTCTAAATTAGGTGACAATTCTTAAAAGTTAGTCTCATTGACCAAATAATAAGGTAACACGTTTCAAACTTTCAGTATTATTGAAAATATGACAAGAAACATTAAAAAAAAAGTTTTAAATTTTGTTTGTTAGATTGTAAAATATGATGGAAATTAAAGTAATATTTTAAAAGTGTAGTGTAGTCTCCGTAAAATGGTGCAATATTGCCAATGTAGATCAAAAAAACAAAAATAAACAAATTTAAATATGGGAAACAAAAATAAACCAAATTAACCCCACAAACCCACATTGTAAAAATTGTCAAAAATAAAATGACACGAAGACCACAAGCTTTAAAAATAAATTAAGTCAGTCTCCGAGCGATATACACGATTGCCAACGTATACTCATAACCAATAATGAAGCATGTGAATGTAGGCTTTAGCATAGCTATACTGACTTGGGCTGGTGTCTAGAGGGAGAGGTTGTCCTTTTAAGATTCTTCAACTATAGTATCCAGCTCTGCAACGTGGCTTCTTCAAATGCCTGTCAATAATTATAAAATGTAGTGAATTATACGGAATGAATTTGAAAGTATCAATATATAACCAATGTAAGGCAACATCTAGGAATGAATTTGATTAAATAATATACACAAGCTAAGCTAAAATACTGGATATACATTCAAGGTTCTCAAGACCCAATCTGATGGGATGAGTTGGTGGCAAATCTGTATGAGCAATTTCCTAGAAGAAGAATTAAAAAATAAAATAAAATAATGTGTCAAATAATAAGCTCAATACCCTACTTGCTACTTAAAATATATGTCTAAGCCAAAGCCACGATGTTGAAGAAATATCTTCCGAATTGAAATACATGAGAGATTAGCTACAAGAAAGCTAGACTGGATACTTCATATTTCAATCTTCAAAAGCAATCCTACTATTGAAATGTGTCAACAGATCAACAACATACAATCTCTCATATCAAAACAGCATAAATGCATCATCAAATTAAATATAAACCACACATCATATCTCCACAAACCCCTTGTTTCTATACCACCATAGGTAGTCCTTCAAAGCATGTTGCAAACTAAGCATTGATTTAGCAAGCTAAGCATAAAAATAAACAAGTAATCCATTAATCCAATAGAAAATTGCAATTCTTCTCTCAAATACTTCATAATAGAAGATCATTAAATCAATTTTATAGTTTCACTTGTCATTTCATAAATGTTCGTGCAACAACCAAACCGCCCAAATAAAATAAAACACACAAACCTGAGTAGCTTTGTAAGCATTCATAGTATCTTCAGCAGCAGTTTTCCTATCATCACCAGATTTAAACTCGGCAATTAACGATGATAATCTCCAAGTAGAATACTCAAGATTCACTGACAGCAGCATTAGGACTTTAGGAGTGAGATGAGAACTAAAAAGCTTCAGAATACAAGCACAGATATCAGAAAGCTCATATTCAACTTTTCCAGTGTAATCGCTAACAAGAGCCACATGGTCAAAAATCAATATGCAAACAATAGAAAGATGCAGAAATCAGAGGAAGTACCATGAAGACCACAAGCTTTAAGGAGCAACCCAATACTCAAAGACCACAAGCTTTAAGGACCATCAGCCACAGATAATCAAAAGGTTTGGCAGTAGTCCAAGACTGATCATCCATATAACAGGAGTAACCTCAAAGATGCAGAAATCAGAGGTAACTGCAATGGTATTTTTAAAAGTTCAGCTATGCAAATCAGTTTATCAAAAAAGGTATAAACTCAATTTACTTCCCTCTTTATGTTCACAAGTAAACTCCAAACTTGCAATGTAACAGTATAATTCTACTCCATAATTCGGTATTAATTATTAAAAAGAAAGATGACTGTAAAGATTCGATTAGATAGTCCAATCATAAGGATAGAAGTCCCTTTACTATAAATAAGCAAATTTAAAATTTAAGTAAGCGACTAATACATTAAAATTGTTGTAGAGCATGGTGCATTATATTAGAGCTTTCAATGTAACAATCCTCCAACTCACCCCACAAGAAACATTTACAAATCAATTGTAAACCCTACAAAAATGCCAATTATAACAAAATTGTATAGACACTAACACAAAAGCAAGAGTTAAAAAAAAATGAAAATAAAGAACAATAAAGCTGTACAAGGAATTTGCGAAGAATATAAGTGGAGAAGAAAGCTCACAGTCGTTCAATACCTTAAACTGAAGTTCAATTACATGAACAAAAATGATTTTCGAGTGATTAAGCTAGCTTAGTATTTCCGTAGATTACCGGAGAATGGAGTTGTTTTATTGGAATCCATGCCCATTCTTCCGCCTCATCATTTAATTTGATTACCCTATAAGAACCAAATGGAAAAAAAAAATCAAAATTACAACTAAATAGGTCGTTAAAATCTTTATGGCTCCAATAAGTATAACCTATATATAGTTCAATAACTAATATTAAATTAACAAAAGTGTGAGACTAAACCCTAGGTATTGAAATTTTCCTAGTTTCTCAACTTGATCTCTTTCTCTTTTCAACATCACAGTCTCTCTCCACTTTGCTTCCTGTTTCACTGCCTCTGAAAACTCTTCCTAATTGGTTTCTTTGAGACCGGAACCCCAAATCTCAAGTAATTTAGCTGATTTTTTCAATTTAGACTCTGATCTAGCCCCAAAGTACAATATGCTTCTTACTATTTAGCTTTGACCAAATCATTTAGACCACTTTATCAAACTACATACAAAGGAGCAATACCTTTATATATAATCTGTTAAATTAAATTCATCTCAGAAAAAGAATGTTAATACATTTTATAAAGAACAGTTAAAAACTCTTTTTTCTAGCACCATGCAACGCATAAATTGAGGAAATAGGGTTGAATTCTTACATTACTGGTATTAGATGATGAAAATCCATATCTCTTCTTACTTTGATCAACTGTCTTGGCCTTCTCAGATTGTAGCTATTCATGCACTGAAGCTTTCTTGTTCTTAATAGTCATAATATACAACTTGCTTCTCATTGCTGAAAGTCTGAAACAACATCCGGATTCTCTTCAAGTAGCCAAAAATATTGAGTAACAACCAAGCCTGATATGATGCCCTTGTTTGAGTTATGAATCCGTAACCAACCCCCCATCCTCCCCTCCTTTCTTTCTCTCTCCTCGTATGAGTTTCACTCGTTCACCCCCCATTAGCCAGCTGATGCTTAAGTCTTCCTCACCTCACTTTTTAATTTTTTTTTTGTGTTTAATGAGTTTATGGCCTGCAACATCATATCAAGCTTTAACAAAGGATTTCTTTAATTTAAATTTATTCTCTGCAATCCACAAATCTTACAGTCACTTCCTGCAAACCCCAAGATTCCCTTCCCAAATTACATAGAACAACATAAGCTCAAGTTTTCAACCAACCAACCAAACATCAAATCTCAACCTTCAAGTTCAAAAACTGATCAAATCAAACCCAATTCATCAATTCCTAGATTCGAATTTGACCCAGTTCTACTCACACTTCAATTTAAATACCAGCATTATAGCCGTTCAATTCTACTCACTCTTCAATTCTACATCTGAAAATGACATACAACAAACAAGTATGAAAGACCCCGATACAATTTCAGATGTAATTTGTAGTTAATAGCATTAAGAAAAACCCCAAAATACACGACAACCAACACTGATTTTGTGTTTCCCCTCAGCTCCTCAGCAGTAACCGCTTATGCTTTCACACATGTCATTTCCACGCGTGGCTACTGTTCATAAGGGGTGAGGATATGGAATGAAAAACTTTATTAAATGAGGAGAGCGTCATGTGGCACCCTAAACTTATTTAGAAACGCTTTTTAATAATATAGTATAGATATAGATATAGATAGATGCGAGTAACAAATGACAATCATTTAAATCAGTGTAAGAATATTAATGAAGACAACAGGTGTCACATTCATGTTTAAGCCAAATAATTAAAATCGAATCATCTATGACATGTCATACCTACATAAGTGAGACGATGAATAATAATCTAGTGACAAATTGAAAGATGACATCCAAATATGGTGATATAGACGCAACAGAATATCATCTAGTCTTATTCGTTTTATGCCTAAACGCAGCAATAGAGCACTACCTCTTGTGCCGTTGAATCTTGAGCTTGAAAAGGTTGTAAGGGCAAACCGAAGAGAAAAGAGAGCGTGAGGTAGTGGTGCTACTTCAAGTGAGCCACAAGTGGTGGTTGATTTTGATCATTCTAGTTCTAGTGAGTCTAGTGCAGACACCATTCAATTAGAGTCATCAAGAACTAATTCTCCAACTTCTTCACCTCCCCATCAATTTCAAATGGCTCTTCCAAACAAAACCATAAGAGAGTTTAGTGTTCCTCCACCATATCAAGAAGCAAGTGGGATTGCTACTCTCGCTATCGAAGCAAACAATTTTGAGATAAGGCCCGCCCTTATCACCTTGATAGAGGGTCATTAAATCTTCGGGGCAAAACATAAGGATCCCATTGCGCATCTTAAGCAATTCACATGGTATTGTAGCACCGTGAAGGCAAATGGGGTGACTCCAGAATACATTTTGTTGAGCATGCTCAAGTTTTCTCTTATGGGCAATGAAAGTGATTGACTTGATAGCTTACCTCAAAACTCATTAAATACATGGAATGAGGTGACTTCGGCATTCCATGGGAGGTTCATTCCTCTTGGGAAAACGGCGGAGTTGAGATAAAAAATATCAAACTTCCAACATGACCCCGACGAGTCCCTCTATGATGCTTGGGAGAGATTCAAGAGTTACCAACAACAATGCCCACACCATGGCATGGAAGATTGACTCTTGCTCCATGGGTTTTATAGAGGTCTTTTAAGAGCGAACCGCATATTGTAGGTTGGAACATCGGGAGGACCAATCATGAACAAGCCATCCACGGAGGCGCTAAAGATCATCGAAGATGTAGTTCAAAACTACACCGATTAGAGTCCTGACGAGAGGAGCATCTCCAAGAAGGGAGGAAAGTATAAGGTAAATGCTATAAATATGATTAATTCAAAATTAGATGCTTTATCTTCTAAGTTTGATCAATTTCAATCCTCTTTTCTATCCCCTTCTCCAAATCAAAATTCACATGCATCTAGTTCATCTAATGAAAATATGTCAATACAAATGATGTCTTGTGGAAGTGATGATCATGTGAATTCCGAATGTTATTTGCTAAATGATTCATGATCCCCCTCCCCTTCCATAAAACAAGTAAATGCAATCAACAATGGTCAACACAATCCTAGTTATGACCTTTATTCCAACACTTATAATGAGGGATGAAAACATCACCCAAACTTTGGTTGGAAAGGGTATCAAACCCAAGGAAATGGTCAAGGTCAATAGAGTGGCCAAAGGAATGTTCAAAATAACAACCAAGGAAATTATCGGAATCAAGGTAATGGTTACTATGTGTCAAATAACCAAGTGAACCATCAAAATGACAATAGGTACCATCAAAGGGGTCAATATTCTTCTAATAATAACCCACCTGATTTAAATGGAGGAAATAGACCAACCCTTGCTCCTATTCCTCAACCCCCTCTCCAAATTCAAGCTCCCCCTCCTAAGTCGAGTCTAGAAACCACAATGGAAAAATTTGTTAATATGCAAACAAAGAAAACCAATGACTTAGAAGAGAGTATCAAGCAAGTGCAACCCCCACAATAAGATGCTAGGACCTCTTTGCCTAGTCAAGCTATTGATCATAGAGAACATTGCAATGCAATTATGACTAGATGTGGGACTAGCATAGATGAAACTCCACCCATGAGTTTGCAAAAAGAGAATGAGAGTGAGGAGGTTAAGGAAGAGAAACAATGTGAGGTATCTAAGTCAAGTAAGGATGAGATAGTTGTCATGACTGAATCCACCACGGTGAGCTTAACCGAAAATTGTAGTGCGATCATCAAGAACCATTCAACCACTAAACTAAAAGATCTCGGAAGTTTCTCTATTCCTTGCTCTATTAAGAACATTTCCTTTGAAAATGCCTTATGTGATCTAGGAGCTAGTGCGAGTTTGATGCCTCTTTGGGTTTATGAGAAGCTTGGTATAGGTGGTTTGGTACCCACCAATGTCACTCTTCAACTTGCCGATCGATCTAACAAATTCCTTAAGGGTAAGGTTGAGGGGTAAATTTCTAAAATGAGAGTGAAATATGTGCGTGAATGTGTGGTAAGTGTCGTGAGTGAGTGTTGTGAGTATTTATATACGAGGGGTAAATACGAAATTTCAAAGAAAAAATGCGAACGACACCAGTAAATTGGGAGCGACGTTTAACAACCCCCAAAAATGTATCTATTACATCTATTAGATTTCTTTAGATTTCATAGCTACCACGTCTGCTGGTGTCATGTTTAAATGCTTTCAAAAATGAATATGCTAGACATACAAAGCAGAAAATTAATATAAAAATTGCTAACAGAGTTTTAGTTACAACAAGATCATAAATGTGTCTAACATGAGAAGGGGGTTATTGAAATGTTAAGGATTACAAAGATCTTTATAATATCCTTCGCCACAACCTTGCTACAAATGTTCTATTAAGTTCAAGCTAACTTACACGGTTACGCCTCAGAGTATTATAAATAATTCCAAGTGATTCATACAGTGCTTTCATCATATCCGGATAATAGTTGTCGTAATACTCAATCATTTGAACCTTGTTTTGAAAAGGTACTCCAGCCTGCAAAAGAGTACAAGGTAGATATTTTTCAGCAAATCATGGTCTAATTACATAATCAGATACTTATGTAATAGTGAAACATACCCTGCACAGGTGCGAGAAAAATGTGAGAAAGTGTATGACAAAAACTTGTTTGAATAGCGATTTCGTCACTTGGATTCGCTCTTTGTGTTGGTGGCGATGTAACAAAAGTACTCAGATTTGGATCATTTGACAACTTAGCCCGCCAATTCCATAAAACCCGTGCATGAGCCGGGTTTCTTCCAACAACATTTTTCGCGCAATCGACCAGCTCTCCAAGTTTGGTAATGTTATAAATTCTAGTTTGTTTTGTCCAAAATCTAGGCGAGTACAGAAATTTTGCAATTAAACTAGCCAATGGTTTAAAAAAAAAATCACAGGTAATTTTATGCGCATTAATTTCATAACATCAAAATGAATCATTATAACATTTCACAAATTAGGCTATCATTTTCTTTTACATAACATAAATTCATTATGTTTATTATTTAACATACGAAAATATTTTATTAAAGGGTAAAAATATGTAAATATCAAAAGTCAATACCAATGTCAATGTCAGTTACAGTTACGCCTGAAAAATTGATACATGCCTCTTTTGTGTGCGTCACTAAATAGTTTACAAGCTTCCCTAATTGAAAAAGACCCTATAATTTCATAATCTATCTTCCCTTGTGGTCTCTAGGCTCACTATATAGCCTCATCCTATATATATATATATATATATATATATATATATATATATATATATATATATATATATATTTTTTTTTATAGCAAATCATCCTACATTTACTTTGCTTTAAAAAGATTATTACATTTTCAAACATGGGATGTTAGGTGTGTGGGATGTTTGGGGTGAGAATGAGTTTTAGTCCTAAAGTATTTTAAGCAATTACGGATATGATAATATGTATACACATTTCCCTATTAAAGAGTAATGAGTCTAATGACTATTATCTTTAATTTTTTTTTAATGAAAATCAATTTAAACTATGGGGTGTGCCAAGTTTTTAAAATGATAATTCACTTGTTATCACATCAAAAGGAGTAAATTAAATACGAATGATGCAATGAACTTTGAAATATAATACTTTGTAAAAGTATTAAAGTTTGCACCATAGCAAGATTTTCTGTTAAAGTGCGAGTTATCAGCTTAGTTTCATCATTGTTAATGAGTTGACAATCTATCCAAATTTGATCCAGTAACCTTCTCAAATCCGTCCAAGTCTTCTTTCCACCATCTACACACCCACAAATAAATTAGCATATTTGATAAATGGATTACAACACTTAATTAAATAGAAAAGCGAGGTTAATGAGTTACACCAATGCAAATTACCTTGTATAATTGATTCTGCAACCGCTAACACACGATAAGGCTTATCGTTGGTTATATAGATGATATTCTTGTCCAAAAATAACTTGATTCCAGAGGAATAACCATGCATGAAAATCAACCCCAAATCTCTAAATATGTTATTAGTAAAATGTTAATAAGATAATAAGATATGAAGGAAATCATTTCAAAAAGTGAGTTTACAAAAAGTAATACTTACGGGGTAAATAATTTTAACATATCTATCATTTGAATAGGGATTCCACTATAATCAAGATACACCAAGCTAGAGCGACTATTGTTTATCCAAGTGGCTAAGGTTGTTATAGAAGTGCGGTGAGTTAAAACATATTTTGTTCCAGCTACAACCGGAGGAAAACAATCCGCAAACCCAGAATGAGCGTTTTTGTGAATAACTTCAAATATGTTATTGTCCGTAACTGGTTCATGTTCAACCATGTAAAAGCTCGGATAAGAAGTATTGTTGTCCATAACTACACTGCCGAAGTACTCACCAGTAAACTTCATTTTTCCCTTAACAAAACAAAATTTTCATTATGTTATTATTGGTCTTCATGTTTTATAGAATACCATAAATAGAAATATTAGATTAAACAATAAATAGTTTTTTAACTCAAAACTTAAAAGCGTAACAATCAACGTTGTCGTCATCCATCGTCCTAAACTTGTCACTAATCCTAAACCCCGAATTGTTACGGTTTTAAGTTTTGAGTTGAAAAAATATTTATTGTTTAATCTAATATTTCTATTTATGGTATTCTATAAAACATGAAGACCAATAATAACGTAATGAAAATTTTGTTTTGTTAAGGAAAAAATGAAGTTTACTGGTGAGTACTTCGGCAGTGTAGTTATGGACAATAATACTTCTTATCTGAGATTTTACATGGTTGAACATGAACCAGTTACGGCCAATAAGATATTTGAACTTATTCGCAAAAACGCTCATTCTGGGTTTGTGGATTGTTTTCTTCTGGTTGTAGCTGGGACAAAATATGTTTTAGCTTACCACATTTCTAGAACAACCTTAGCCACTTGGATAAACAATAATCGCTCTAGCTTGGTGTATCTTCGATTATAATGGAATCCCTATTCAAATGACCGATATGTTAAAATTAATTATCCAGTAAGTATTACTTTTTGTAAACTCACTTTTTCAAATGATTTCCTTCAATTTTTATTATCTTATTAACATTTTATCAATAACATATGTAGAGATTTGAGGTTGATTGTCATGCATGGTTATTCCTCTAGAATCAAGTTATTTTTGGACAAGAATAGCATCTATATAAGCAACGATAAGCCTTATCGTGTGTTAGCGGTTGCAGAATCAATTATACAAGGTAATTGCATTGGTGTAACTCATTAACCTCACTTTTCTATTTAATTAAGTGTTGTAATCCATTTATCAAATATGCTAATTTATTTGTGAGTGTGTAGATGGTGGAAAAAAGACTTGGACGGATTTGAGAAGGTTACTAGATCAAATTTGGATAGATTGTCAACTCATCAACAATGATGAAACTAAGCTGATAACTCGCACTTTAACAGAAAATCTTGCTATGGGGTAAACTTTAATACTTTTACAAAGTATTATTTTTCAAAGTTCATTGCATCATTCGTATTTAATTTACTCCTTTTGATGTGATAACAAGTGAATTATCATTTTAAAAACTAGGCCCACCCCATAGTTTAAATTGATTTTTATTTAAAAAAAAAAATTTAAAGATAATAGTCATTAGACTCATTACTCTTTAATAGGGTAATGTGTATACATATTATCATATCCGTAATTGCTTAAAATACTTTAGGACTAAAACTCTCATTCTCACCCCAAACATCCCACACACCTAACATCCCATGTTTGAAAATGTAATAATTTTTTTAAAGCAAAGTAAATGTAGGATGATTTCCGTAAAAAAAAAGTAAAAAAAAAATAAAGGATGAGGCTATATAGTGAGCCTAGAGACCACAAGGGAAGAGAGATTATGAAATTATAGGGACTTTTTCAATTAGCGAAGCTTGTAAACTATTTAGTGACGCACACAAAAGAGATATGTATCAATTTTTCAGGCGTAACTGTAACTGACATTGACATTGGTATTGACTTTTGATATTTACATATTTTTACCCTTTAAGAAAATTGAATATGTTCTGTGTTTTTAATATTTTCGTATATTAAATAATAACCATAATGAATTTATTTTATGTAAAAGAAAATGATAGCCTAATTTGTGAAATGTTATAATGATTCATTTTGTTATGTTATGAAATTAATGCGCATAAAATTACCTGTGATTTATTTTTTTTAAACCATTGGCTAGTTCAATAGCAAAATTTCTGTACTCGCCTAGATTTTGGACAAAACAAACTAGAATTTATAGCATTACCAAACTTGGAGAGCTGGTCGATTGCGCGAAGAATGTTGTTGGAAAAAACCCGGCTCATGCACAGATTTTACGGAATTGGCGGGCTAAGTTGTCAAATGATCCAAATCTGAGTACTTTTGTTAAATCGCCACCAACACAAAGAGCGAATCCAAGTGACGAAATCGCTATTCAAACAAGTTTTTGTCATACACTTTCTCACATTTTTCTCGCACCTGTGCAGGGTATGTTTCACTATTACATAAGTATCTGATTATGTAATTAGACCATGATTTGCTGAAAAATATCTACCTTGTACTCTTTTGCAGGCTGGAGTACCTTTTCAAAACAAGGTTCAAATGATTGAGTATTACGACAACTATTATCCGGATATGATGAAAGCACTGTATGAATCACTTGGAATTATTGATAATACTCTGACGCGTAACCGTGTAAGTTAGCTTGAACTTAATAGAACATTTGTAGCAAGGTTTTAAGATTCACAACTTAAACTAATCCGCGGATGTGGCGAAGGATATTATAAAGATCTTTGTAATCCTTAACATTTCAATAACCCCCTTCTCATGTTAGACACATTTATGATCTTGTTGTAACTAAAACTCTGTTAGCAATTTTTATATTAATTTTCTACTTTATATGTCTAGCATATTCATTTTTGAAAGCATTTAAACATGACACCACGTGGCAGATATGAAATCTAAAGAAACAAAGAAATCTAATAGATGTAATAGATTCATTTTTGGGGGTTATTAAACGCGCTCCCAATTTACTGGGTGTCGTTCGCATTTTTTCTTTGAAATTCCGTATTTACCCCTCGTATTTAAATACTCACAACACTCACTCACGACACTTACAACACATTTCACGCACATATTTCACTCTCATTTTAGAAATTTACCCCTCAACCTTACCCTTAAGGAATTTGTTAGATCGATCGACAAGTTGAAGAGTGACATTGGTGGGTACCAAACCACCTATACCAAGCTTCTCATAAACCCAAAGAGGCATCAAACTCGCACTAGCTCCTAGATCACATAAGGCATTTTCAAAGGAAATGTTCTTAATAGAGCAAGGAATAGAGAAACTTCCGAGATCTTTTAATTTAGTGGATGAATGGTTCTTGATGATCGCACTACAATTTTCGGTTAAGCTCACCATGGTGGATTCAGTCATGACAACCATCTCATCCTCACTTGACTTAGATACCTCACATTGTTTCTCTTCCTTAACCTCCTCACTCTCATTCTCTTTTTGCAAACTCATAGGTGGAGTTTCATCTATGCTAGTCCCACATCTAGTCATAATTGCATTGCAATGTTCTCAAGGATCAATAGCTTGACTAGGCAAAGAGGTGCTAGGATTGTTACTTTTAAGTACATTAACTAGTTGAGTTTCTAGCATCTTATTGTGGGGGTTGCACTTGCTTGATACTCTCCTCTAAGTCATTGGTTTTCTTTGTTTGCATATTAACAAATTTTGCCATTGTGGTTTCTAGACTCGACTTAGGAGGGGGAGCTTGAATTTGGAGAGGGGGTTGAGGAATAGGAGCAAGGGTTGGTATATTTCCTCCATTTAAATCAGGTGGGTTATTATTAGAAGAATATTGACCCCTTTGATGGTACCTATTGTCATTTTGATGGTTCACTTGGTTATTTGACACATAGTTACTATTACCTTGATTCTTATAATTTCCTTGGTTGTTATTTTGAACATTTCTTTGGCCACTATATTGACCTTGACCATTTCCTTGGGTTTGATCCCCTTTCCAACCAAAGTTTAGGTGATGTTTTCATCCCTCATTATAAGTGTTGGAATAAAGGTCATACCTAGGATTGTGTTGACCATTGTTGATTGCATTTACTTGTTCTATGAAAGGTGAGGGGGAGCATGAATCATTTAGCAAATAACATTCGGAAGTCACATGATCATCACTTCCACAAGTATCACAAGACATCATTTGTATTGACATATTTTCATTAGATGAACTAGATGCATGTGAATTTTGATTTGGAGAAGGGGATAGAGAAGAGGATTGCAATTGATCAAACTTAGAAGACAAAGCATCTAATTTTGAATTAATCATATTTATAGCATTTACCTCATACTTTCCTCCCTTCTTGGAGATGCTCCTCTAGTCGGGACTCCAATCGGTGTAGTTTTGAACTACATCTTCGATGATCTTTAGCGCTTCCGTGGGTGGCTTGTTCATGATTGGTATCTAGTACCTAGTATCTAGTATACATATAAATCAGTTTTGCTTGGGAAGTGTAATGCTGGACGACTGGACACACTCATGCTACTCCTGTTAACAAGTGGCAGAGTTTGTTATGACTTACAAATTTGTTAGTTTCTTACAATCAAATAATTCTCAGTAATAAATCTAATTATAGCATTTGTAGCAATGAGGCATTATCACATTAAAAGTCTTTTTCAAATACAAAGCTTTAAATAAATAACCAATAACAAATGAGGCAACAAAAGTGAGAAGTCTATTGAAAAAAAATCACACAAAAAAAAAAAAAAAAAAAAGAAAACGTAAGCACTTACAAAATTACAGTCAATAATATTGGCAACAAAATATCAAACAAAGAGAGTTGATGATAAAGTCAATGGCACAAAATCAAAAAAATTGAAGAAAACTAAAATAAAACACACAAACCTGAGTAGCTTTGTAAGCATTCATAGTATCTTCAGCAGCAGTTTTCCTTTCATCACCAGATTTAAACTCGGCAATATAACGATGATAATCTCCCTTCATCTTCAAGTAGAATACTCAAGATCCACTAACAACAACATTAGGACTTTAGGAGTGAGATGAGAACTAAAAAGCATCAGAATACAAGCACAAATATCAGAAAGCTCGTATTCAACTTTTCCATTGTAATCGCTAACAAGAGCGTTATGGTCAAAAATCAATATGCAAACAATAGCAATATACCTATTTTAATGAAAGTACCATGAAGACCACAAGCTTTAAGGAGCAACCCGATACTCAAAGACCATATGCTTTAAGGCATCAGCCAGAGATAATCCAAAGGATTGGCAGTAGTCCAAGACTGATCATCCATATAACAGGAGTAACCTCAAAGATGCAGAAATCAGAGGTAACTGCAATGGTATTTTTAAAAGTTCAGCTATGCAAATCATTTTATCAAAAAAGGTATAAACTCAATTTACTTCCCTCTTTATGTTCACAAGTAAACTCCAAACTTGCAATGTAACAGTATAATTCTACTCCATAATTCGGTAATAATTATTAAAAAGAAAGATGACTGCAAAGATCCGATTAGAAAGTCCAACCATAAGTATAGAAGCCCCTTTATTATAAATAAGCAAATTTAAAATTTAAGTAAGCAGCTAATACATTAAAATTGTTGTAGAGCATGGTGCATTATATTAGAGCTTTCAATCTAACAATCCACCAACTCACCCCACAAGAAACATTTGCAAATCAATTGTAAACCCTAAAAAAATGCCAATTATAACAAAATTGTATAGACACTAACACAAAAGCAAGAGTTAAAAAAAAATGAAAATAATGAACAATAAAGCTGAAAAATAGGAATTTGAGAAGAATATAAGTGGAGAAGAAAGCTCACAGTCGTTTTATACCTTAAACTGAAGTTCAATTACATGAACAAAAATGATTTTCGAGTGATTAAGCTAGCTTGGTATTTCCGTAGATTGCCGGAGAATGGAGTTGTTTTATCGGAATCCATGCCCATTCTTCCGCCTCATCATTTAATTTGATTATCCTATAAGAACCAAATGGAAAAAAAATCAAAATTACAACTAAATAGGTCATTAAAATCTTTATGGCTCCAATAAGTATAACCTATATATAGTTCAATAACTGATAATTAAATTAACAAAATTGTGAGACTAAACCCTAGGTATTGAAATTTTCCTAGTTTCTCAACTTGATATCTTTCTCCTTTCAACATCACAGTCTCTCTCCACTTTGCTTCCTGTTTCACTGCCTCTGAAAACTCTTCCTAATTGGTTTCTCCAAGACCGGAAACCCAAATCTCAAGTAATTTTAGCTGATTTTCTCAATTTTGACTCTCATCTAGCCCCAAAGTACAATATGCTTCTTACTAATTAGCTTTGACCAAATCATTTAGACCACTTTATCAAACTACATACAAAGGAGCAATACCTTTATATATAATCTGTTAAATTAAATTCATCTCAGAAAAAGAATGTTAATACATTTTATAAAGAGCAGTTAAAAACTCTTTTTTCTAGCACCATGCAACGCATAAATTGAGGAAATAGGTTTGAATTCTTACATTACTGGTATTAGATGATGAAAATCCATATCTCTTCTTACTTTGATCAACTGTCTTGGCCTTCTCAGATTGTAGCTATTCATGCACTGAAGCTTTCTTGTTCTTAATAGTCATAATATACAACTTGCTTCTTATTGCTGAAAGTCTGAAACAATATCCGGATTCTCTTCAAGTAGCCAAAAATATTGAGTAACAACCAAGCTTGATATGATGCCCTTGTTTGAGTTATGAATCCGTAACTTTAGCACTTGAGCTTGACATGATGCCCTTGTTTGCAGTTGAGCTTGATCGTCCGAAAATTTGTACTGTGGATTATAGAGAATAAATTAGAATTAAGAATACATCCAACCAACCCCCCATCCTCCCCTCCTTTCTTTCTCTCTCCTTGTATGAGTTTCACTCGTTCACCCCCCATTAGCCAGCTGATGCTTAAGTCTTCCTCACCTCACTTAACACCTTAAGCACATCTTTAGCAGCGTGAGCAAACTCAGGCGAAGAGAAAAGAGCAAAACAAAATATGCGGTTAATTTAATTGACCCCTCACCTGAGCAAATAGGAAGATGGTGTATAATTGATTGAGAAAGCTTTTTGATGACTGATTAATTTTTTAAATTTAAGAACAATCCCACTGCTTTGATGCTTTCCCTGTTGTTACTAATATAAGCCCTCTATTCCTATCAGTCTCCCTGTTGTAAATAAATCGCCTACAAAAACCAAGAAAACCCCACGAATTTTTCCAAATTACCAGCAAAATTAATAAGCAAAAGGAAATAATAAATAAATCCAGGAGGAAGAATTTCTCACCTGAATTCTATGAGAAAAATATCGGGAATCCACGACGATGATTCAAATTGAGAACCTCCACGGCGGCCGGAGGTGGGAACGACAAACTATACAGTTAAGGGTAATTTACACCACAGAGGGGTACCGGTGGATACTTTATGTGACTTTTGTGAAGTGGAAGAGGAAGATATTCAGCACCTCTTCTGTTGTAGTGATTTGCTTATGCTTTCACACATGTCATCTCCACACGTGGCTACTGTTCATAAGGGGAAGACTCACACTTTTTAAGGGGTGAGGATATGGAATGAAAAACTTTATTAAATGAGGAGAGCGTCATGTGGCACTCTAAATTTATTTAAAAACGCTTTTTAATAATATAGTATAGATATAGATATAGATAGATGCGAGTAACAAATGACAATCATTTAAATCAGTGTAAGAATATTAATGAAGACAACAGGTGTCACATTCATGTTTAAGCCAAATAATTAAAATCGAATTATCTATGACATGTCATACCTACATAAGTGAGACGATGAATAATAAACTAGTGACAAATTGAAAGACGACATCCAAATATGGTGATATAGACGCAACAAAATATCATCTTTTTAAGGTTGTTTTTACTCTTCAGCCGTACGATCTTACGAGGCTACAAGTATAGTTAGTTAACTATATTACTCATTCAATTTGTATAGGTTTAAAAATATGGTTAGTTTAAAATCAAAGGTTGAGTTATAATTATGGTTGGTTTAAAACTTTGGTTGGTTTGAAATAAGGTCGGGTTAAAATCGTGTCGAGTTAAATCAGATCGGGTTAATATTGGATCAGGTTGATATCAATTTGGATTAAAATCGGATCAGGTTAATATCAGTTCGGATCAAAACAGGTTAGATTGAATTAAGTAATTGTTAGGTCAATTTCAAACCAGGTTGAGTTTAGGTAGAGTCAGATCGGTTTGGTTTGAGTTGTAGTCAGGTCAAATCGATTTTGGGTTAAGCTTGGGTCGGATCAATAAGTGCTAATTTAGCTTAGATCGGGTAAAATTTAGGTTTGAGTTGAGTTCAGGTCGTTTACAGATAGATCGAGTTTGGGTCGTTGTAGGCGTCGCTAGAAGTGTGCTTATGTTAAGAATGTTGTGAATATGCTTGATAACTATAGGAAGTTGGATTTGACATTTAACGATTAAGGACGAAAAAGTAGGGAAACGCCAATAACTTTTTAAGAAAATTGTAAACCGTTCATGGATCATTGACAACTACGAAACGGGACAAATAGGTTACACCCTATTCATTATATTGTGTATTCCATTATGGTCCTGAATCATGATTGGATATTCGGGAATAATGGTATGAAATTGAGTCATGAAGTCAATTCTGATCCGCCCGTATTAGCCTTTACTCGATTCTTATAGTGATATGTATTAATTTCAACCAAAAGACATACAAACAATATTCAATTTTCTCCAAACTAATTAATCTAAGTTGGTTGAATATTAATGCACACATAAATCTAATTATTGTGATCACTTAGTAACAAGATTACTAGGTACCTAAACTAGTTGTCCAAATCATCTTATTAAGTGTGATTTTCAATTACACGTTTTGAATAAAACATGCAATATGGTGATCAGAACAAATATAAAAAATCAAATAGGTTAAACAAGCATGCATAAAATAGGAAGCAACTCAATATAACAATTAGAGAACAAATTAAACGCATCCTAAACATGATACTAAATAATTTTAATATGACCCTAGGCATGATACTAAAAATATTAATCTAAAGCCTAAACATGATAATAAGAATTAGAAATACGATTCCTAAACACATGAAGCTAGCATGAACAAATATTGTAGAATTAATTACACAAAAGGAAGGAATAATTAAATTTACTTACGTCGATCGCAAAACCTTCCAATTACATCTTTATTAATAAATTGTTAGTAAACTTCAAATAAATTGTAAATCAAATTTAATTAAATTATATCAAATTGGGTCTAGATTGATACCCTTAGGGTTCATGATCAAGCTTTCCTGCCGTAGACCGCCGATAGAGCTTCGAGTGAATTTGAAGTATTAATATATAGGAGTACTCGAAAGAGCAATTTCGGAATATAAGAGAGATGGAAGATTAATAAAATAAGAGTATTAGAGAGAATACGAGTATAACACGGTGCCTGTGACCCTCGAAAAGCAATGATATATTATAGGAATAAAACTAAAAAAGGATTAAATCTACAGAAAAGATCAGTAGCTCGTGCGACGCAACGAATGCATTTAGGTTTGACGTGCCAGATTACTGAATTCGGGATTGAGCTTAAGAATTAAATGGAAAATTTTAAATAAAAGGTTTGGGCTTAAGACAGAAATAAATTTGAGTATGGCTTAGAAAGATGAAATAATTAATTGGATTTTATAATAAAAGTAAATGCTCCTTTATTACAACACTCTACTTGAACCAAACGGTTATGAAAGGTTTTACTCATCATCGAGTTTCGGTCAAGAAGGCTTTTTTAGGTGTATGTAGTCCTGAATTTCTCGGGTTAAATCAGATTGGTTACAGTTCTAAACGGATGGTTTTTTTTTGGATAATAAGAAATTGTGTGTGTGTGTGTGGGGGGGGGGGGTGGTCATTTAGAGAAATGCGACTATTGCAATGGTGAGTCACAGTGCTAATATTAGCACACTTCATGAAGGTTTGAGTTATGTGGTGACTGTCAACGAGAAACTAGCGCAAAGAGCTATAGTGTTCCAACACTGGCAACAACGAATTAAAGAGAAATGGATAAATTATTGTGAAATGTCTTCGACCTTAGCTTGATGTTTAATAAGGTGTAACACAGGTAGAAAAGATGGGAAATTCTAACCTTGCGCAATGATTTGGATGAATGGATAACAATTGGAAAATTAATTAAAAACTCTCTTATGGAAGTGTACAAGACGGCTGAGGTCAACCTGACATGGGTGGGAGAGAGGATGAACCTTTTTCTCCAAGAACTTGATCTCCCGCATATCACTGAGGAGGATAGTCATGATTTAATCAAACCGTTCACTGCACAAGAAATACGAAAGGCGATGTTCTCCATTAACAATCTAAAGTATCAAGGGTTGGACGAGTTCATTAGGAGTTTTTCCACAAACATTGGGAACAAGTGGGTGCGAAGGTAGTGGCGGCAAGTTCATTCAATACTTCTTTTCTACAGGTTACATGCTTAACGAAATCAATGCTTGTATCTTGGTTATGATTCCTAAGGTGGAAACCCCGGACGAAGTGGCGGTGCAATTACGTTCGATAAGCCTGTGTAACAGCATTTATAAAGCATAGCTAAATGTTTGGTCAACAAGATGAAAGGGTTGTTTCTTGAGCTGCGCTCATAACGGAATACTAACACGCCTTTATAACAGGTAGATATGTGGAGGATAATATTCTTTTAAGTCATGAACTGCTGCATTTACTAAATATTAATAAAGGAGTGTCGGATAAGGCGGCGGCCATCAAGATTGATATGTCTAAAGCTTATGATTGAGTAAATTGGCTTTTTCTCGTAAAGGTTTTATAGGCTTATGGCTTCCCGGCAAAGTGGATTCAGTGGATTTCTCAGTGTGTGTCTACAGTTTCATAACGGACTCTGATCAATGGGCAGGTCTCGGATATTTATTAACCAGAATGTGGCTTAAGGCAAGGGGACCCACTTTCCCTATATTTGTTTCTCTTCTTCATGGAAATTCTATCCAAAATGCTTATCATGGTGGAGAATCTCAAGCAGATCAAAGGGCTTAAAGTCACTAGGAGGTCACCGTCAATCTCACATTTTATTTTTCTAATGATGCTATGATTTATTTATTTATTTATTTATTTATTTTTATTTTTTTTTCCTTAAGGTTTTAAGGGAGTCTTATGTTACAATGGTTAGTTATTTAGGGAAATTTGGGGAGGTCTCGGGTTAGAGACTTAACCTTATCAAGTCCTTTATCAAATTCAATAGTTTAGTGTCCTTTCGAAATGTGGAAACTATAAGAGCATTCTAAAGATCAGACAAGTTTGATTGTGGAGCACCAGTCAGGGGCACCAGTGGACCTAATGACAGGAAAGATACAATCTTTCCAGTTTCTACTTGACAAAGTGGTGAAGAAAGTTACTACTTGGGGCTCTTTGAAGCTTTCGTAACCAGCAAAGCTTATTCTAATTAATTCAGTTCCCATAAGTATCTCCTTCCATGTAATGAAATGCTTCAAATTGCCACTCTCAATTGCAAGTAGAATTGATTATATTATTACTCATTTCTGTTGGGATAAAAATGGAGATAAAGGGATGCACTAGATTGGAAAGGATACCCTTCACCTCTCAAAGGAAATGGGAGGACTAGGGATTAGGTCAATGATTAACCTCAATGATGCACTGCTGTTAAAGCAAGTATATCGGATGCACGCACTATGATCCCCAACTATTATTGGCACACTCCCTTTCCCCCACTCGCTCCTTCTCCTTGAGTATGGGACATGCTATGCATACTATCCGTAGTAATGCTTCTTTGGGGAGGGGAAAGGTTTTCATACTATAGATAAGAAGTTTGTTTCAAGTTTTGCTTGGAAGATCAACAACAGGGAAAAGGTGAAGATCGCAAATATGAAATGGGTGAATGGTCATATCCCTCTTCTCAGATATGACCCAATGTTGATTGGAATTGGCTGGAAGAGTTTGTTACTTGATAACAAGATCACCAAGGCTGGTTTAGAATGTGACAATGGTGAGAGAGAAATTTGAATGTGACTCGGTTTATCAGATTTTATCTATGGAGATTTCAACGACAGAGGAAGACGACTTCTTGTACTGGCACAATCATCGTTCAGGTATCTATACGGTTAAAATTGGATATGCCTTTCTTCTTGATAATGACAGGAATCCCTATCACACGCGAGGGATGATGAGTTACAAACTTGTTTGGAAATTAAACATACCACCAAAGTGGAGTATTTTCTTGTGCAAATTGATTTTGAATGGCTTAGCAGTAAAGGGTAATTTACACCACAGAGGGGTACCGGTGGACACTTTATGTGACTTTTGTGAAGTGGAAGAGGAAGATATTTAGCACCTCTTCTATTGTAGTGATTTGGCAAATATGCATGGCATAATTGCTCCTTGCATATTAGCTCAGAAAATGATGGATCTACTCCTTTGAAACAATGGATCCACGCACAGTGAGAGAATGTAAGTTTTT